AAAGACCTGCAGGGCTGACTAGAGGATTTAAAGAGGGATCTCATCTCAGTCACTCTAGCTTCCCTGGAACCTCAACCTTGAAATCAAGGAGGAGACAGATCTGAAGGAGTGAATCTCATGCGCACACACGACTTGTGTGTTGGGGTGTGTGTGTGTCTGTCTGTCCGTCCCCAGATGCTCTGGGTCACTGTTTTGAATGGTGGTCACCAGAGTAGGGGGCTCATTGCTCTCTGGACCTGAGGAAGTAGTTCCATTCTTAGCTTCAGTCTCTGGTTTAAAGTATCATCTAGGAGCTTGAGTGAGCAGATTGGACAGGCTTCCTGGAGCTGGTAAGAGAAATGGCTGAGAGGAGCTGGCTGAACCGTTCTGGGTTTGTTTATGTTTCCTTGGGGGAGGGGGGGAGGGGCTGCAGGCAGCAGCTGCCCCCCTCCCAACTCAGCCGGCCTGCCCTGTGCCAGGAGGGCAGGGAGTCCTGGCACAGCTATTGTTCGCCTGCACAAATGCCCGTCTGTTTGCATCACTCCCCCCTCCCTCTGTGCTTGTCTCTCTTTCCTGACCTGACAGGTGTGGCCGGGTAGGGGGCAGGCTGGGGTCCAGGATGCCTAGGTCTCAGGGTGTCTAGCCCAATTTTATTCCCTATGGCCCTTAGCACCCCTCTTATGCTTCGCCAGCAGGCCCTCCCCCATTGTCCGGTGTCTCATCTCCATTCATCAAGCAAGTGTTTATTAAGTGCCTTTGTGTGTTCAGCGATGTCTTTTTGTGTTACGTTTCTGGCTTTGGCATTAGTGTTTCCATTTGGCTGCCTTCTCCTCAGCCTCCTGCCTTTATCTTGTCCCTGGAAGCTCATAAAGGAAGCAGAGCCTGGCTGAGACCATCCCATGCCCTCTCCTCAGTCCCATGGCCAGGGACCCTCTCTCTGCTCATTTCCCTGCCCTGTAGCCCATCCCACGTGACTCTCTGAACTGCTGCTGTCCAGGGTCTAAGCCACAGATGACTCAAAACCCAGTGGAACCCTCCAGGGGCTTTCTGGTCACCTAAAAGAGGGCCTGGACAGAGGCTGCACCTCCTTGGGGAAGGGGCTGCTGCCACTTGCAGCTGGTGCCGAGGCCATTCTGAGCACCACGTGACTTCCCCCGAGGTCTTAGTTTGGAAATACCCGATGGAGGAACAAGGACAGCTGAGAGCTGAGACTTTGCTTGGAGAGGTTCTCACTGCTGGATCGGCTCTGCCGTCCTCTGCTGCCCGATGGGGAGCCCAGGAAGCTGAAGTCCAGGCTTTGGCGTTCCTTATCTTTGCATGTACGGCACTGTTTTCCTCATCTCGCAGCCTGAGAAACAAAGTATGGAGAAAGGGGAAACTGCTTCTGCCTTTGAAGCTTTGAGCCTCCAGCCTCAATGCCTACTGCCATTCGCCTAGTCTTTCTTCAAAATGACCAAGATCTGGGATGAAGGTGAAAGGAAGGTTTGGGTTGGCCTTCTTCTGACCTTCAGAGGAAACCCTCCATGTCTAAGTTCAAAGAAATTAGAAGGAGGAAGGGAGAAAAGACCAGATAAGAGGAGAGGAGACTGAAGGCTCTGAAACTCTGATAAGGAATGAAGGGATCCTGGGGGCAGGGGCGAGGGTGCTGCAGGGACCCCATGTCTTGGTGTCCAACCATTCGTTCATCCATCTTTCCATCCTTTTTTTCCCTTCCTTTCCTTTCTTTCCAAGGAGGAAAGGCACTCGTGTATTGAGTGCCTGTTGTATACCAGCCGCCGTGCTAGGTGCTTCCACATGTTTTATTCACTTCATCCTTGATGTAGCAGTGGCTGAGCTGAAGGCTGTGTAGCAAGAGAAACTTTCTGTAAGGTTGTGAGAAAGCAGGGCTCTGGACACTGGACGGCAGAGGACCGACCAAAGCAGAAAGGGCCTCTGCGTGTTAGGCTGGGTGTTGGTGACTGTGGAATAATGGGCTCTTTTTTTAGTGGACAGATGAGGTGAAGGGCTGTCTTGCTGGCGGGCAGGCCGGTAGCTGGGAGGCTGATGTGATGACCTTAAGAATACCTGGAAAAGTAGGACAAAGAAGCAGACAAGCCTGTTCAGTCCATCTAGGGAGCAGGCACCGCTGGAGAGCAGGCCCTGTCCTTCCATCCTCACCAGCCTGAGCCCTGGGGCGGGCGCAGGCTGCCTCCAGGACAATAGCGCTAGGCAGTGCCAGGGCCGCTTGCTGCTGGGCAGTGTCTGTGTTGGGATGTGCTGCTGCGGCTGCTGTCCGCTGCTGGCCCACCTAGAGAGGCGGTCACTTGGAGAGAGGGTGAGTGTTAGGAGGTGGAGGAGGCTGGGCCCAAGGTAGCTGGGTTGTCTGTGAGACATTGATGCCAGAGAGAGGAAGGTCGACTAGAGACCCTGTTCTCTGGCTACCCCAGTCGTCTGCCTCCCTTTTGCCCCTCCTCTCGCAGGTGAGTGCTCCGGAGAGGCCGGAGGGTGGAGGGCAGAGGGCGGGTGAGGGGAGGAGGAGTTGTAGCAGCACTGGGGCAGATCTGCAGCACTGCCCCATCTGGAGTTGACCCTCATTCATACATGTTGCTCTTTTCTTAACAGTATTACATTAGTTTCAGTATTTTTGCAGATTATACTCTACTAAAGTTATTACAAAATAATGGCTATAATTCACTGAACTATACAATATATCCTTGCTGCTTATCTGTTTTATACATAGTAGTTTGTATCTCTTAATTCCATATCCCTAATTTGTCCTTCCCCATGTTGCTCTTTTTAATATGATTTTCACTTTTTTGTTTGCTTGCTTTTATTTTTTAATTATTATTATTTTAAAACTTATTTTATTTTATTATTTTTAAAATTTAAAAAAATTTTTTTTCAGTGGAGGTACTGGGAATTGAACCCAGGACCTTGTACATACTAAGCATGCACTCTACCACTAAGCTATATACCACTCCACAATTGCTTTTAATTCAAACGTAGTAAGTGCTCAAACTCTTTTATTTGTGTCATGGAGAAGGCTGGGAGGGCAGGAGAGGAGGAGAGAAGGGAGAGTATAGGGCAGTGAGAAGAGATATTTGGACCTGGACTTTGAGGTCCTATAAGATTGCTATTCAAAGGAAGATTTGATCTCCTAAAGAACTATAATTTGGAGCAAGACAGATGGGGGTTAGACCAAAGGGAGAATTTTCTAGTGGTCCAGATAGGTACCAGAATAGAAAAAGGGAGGCTAGAATTAGACATGGGTCAGCTTCCTTAACAAGGCCTAGGTAGGGGACAGGAAGGAGAAGCAAGGGTGAGAAAGGGAAGGCCGAAGTGGGAGACCATGGAGTCAAGGAGGGAGACCAGGAGGTGAGAAGTTGACTATGAGATAGGAAGAGGAGGCACACGGGAGGGGAGGAGAAAAGAAAAATGGGTGATCAGGTAAGGAATGACATTAAGACCCCTGGGTTCTGCTCATCATCAGACAAACCTGGAGCTTCTGAGGGGAGGCAGAAGAGAGAAGGATCTCGGGCCACCAGGAAGCCCTCAGAGTCTAGGGCACCGCAGCCCAGTGCCCTCTGGCCCCTGTGCTGTTGACTCAGCCATCCACACTTCCTCTTTCTACCCTAGGCAACTCTTCCCCTCCCCCACCTCTTGACTGCCAGTATGGCTGCAGCTGAGAGTCAGGTCCAGGCCCCAGGGTCCAGGCTGGGGACTCTCTGGGTTCTAAATCTCTGTCCCTGGGCACCAATCAGTGTCCTCTGTCTTGGGGTTCATGCCCTCAGCCTCAGCCATCTGGATCCAGCTTTTTGGTTTCTGAGAGGCAGGGAAACCTTGGAGGGAGTGGTCTTGTCAGCATGTCTTCCTGTTCTCTGTCATCTTAAGAATGGAGGGAAAATCTGGGGGTCTGAGGTGACCACTGAGGAAGGTCCCGGAATAGGTAGAAAGCATGATGTCCCATCTCACCTCCTCAGGTTTTGCAAGGGAGACTCAGGGACTTGAGGAGGGACATTAAAAAGGTCAGGGAGAATGACTTGACCCGCTGAGAGCAGGGGGAAGAAGGAGAAGAGAGAGCTGATGGGAAATGCCAGCCTCCGAGGTTCTGCAGAAAGGCCCACTGTGCACACCATCTCATCGGAGACAAGAACTGACATTGCAGCCAGAGGATGAAGGGTAGACACCAGCAAGGACTTCCTAGACTAACTGGGTGAGGAGGAATAAGGGCGATATCCTAGGTTTTGGAAGGTAGTATGGGAGGAATAAAAGTTAGACTGCAGGAGAGACTTCCTGCCAGGAATGAGATCAATGATGGCTGAGTTTCTTTCCTTAAAGATCCCAGAGAGGACGAGTGACCTGAGACCAAAACTAGGTTCCTCCTACCTTGAGGTTAGCAGGGGACATGCTGCCTCCCACGGAGAGGCTCTGTGGACCTTGGCTGAGTGGATGTGGAAGAGTTAGAGGTTTAGGATCCTGACCTTTGGATTGGAGGTGGCAGTGGAGGCATTCTGCCCCCTTCAGCCAATCTAATAAGGGGATCTCCTGCCCCCCGCTGTGACTGCCACTGCCACAGAGACAGCAGCTCCAACACCGGTTGTCATGGTTATAAGAGGAGCTAACTCCCATAGATTTGAAAGCGCTGGTGAGCTGGCACCTTCTGCTTCGCCTGCTCTTCCCTCCTCTCTGCGCATCTTCCCCCGGCACAGAGAAGAGAGTACAGCAGCTCGGGGGCGAGCAGAGCTAGGGCAGGGAGGTGGGGTGAGGACGCTGAGGTCTAGAGCCACGGAGGTTAGAGCTACAGAGATGAGCGGCAACCGGAGGCAGCCCAGCCGCAGGGGCCAGGTAGGTCAGGGGCCAGCTTGGCCATCGGAGCTGGTCTGGTCACTCCCGGACAGCTGTGCAAGGCAAAATCTGCTTCAGGAAGTAGTGTCTTTCTGGCAATGCCAGGCAGGCATTGCTCCCTCATCTTTCTCTCTGGACTCCTCAGGCACCCTGGCATCCTCCAGCCTCACTTCCTGTCTCTCTCACCTCTTCCACAGAGCCGGGAAAAGGAGAAGATGAAGGAAGCCAAGGATGCCCGCTATACCAACGGGCACCTCTTCACCACCATCTCCGTTTCGGGCATGACCATGTGCTATGCCTGTAACAAGAGCATCACAGCCAAGGAAGCCCTCATCTGCCCAAGTAAGTTGTTTGGACCCTGAATATCTGTCAGCCTGATTCAGTGCCCACTGACCCTAATCTTGCTATCTGTCCTTTTTGCCCTGGATCTGATCTGTAAGGATCACTCTCCTCTCTGAGCCCCGGAAGAGCCCAAATGCCAGGGCCAGATGCTTGATCCCTCTTTCCCTTTTCTCACGTCTAGGGGTGGTGGCGTGGGAATGTGGCATAAGCTGGCGAGGGAGGGCAGGGGTGGCTGGGGTGGCTCCCTTTGCAGCTGTCGTCCTCTGGGTATCCCCCAGCTCCCCGAACAGCTGCTGAGGGTTAAGAGAACTGATTGGAGAAGGGGCAGGAATGTTGTGTGCATGGGAGGGGGTGGATGGGGCGCTGCATGGGAAGCTGCAGGGCTTGCAGCTGTTCTGCCGATCTTCCCGGGCACAACTGAATGGTCAGGACTTTAGGGTCTCCTCGTCCCCTCCCTTTCTGTTGACTAGGTAGAGCCTGAAGTCTCGAAATCTCTGCAGTTTGAAGCAGAGGATTAGGGATTAGGAGCCCCTTCTCAAATTCCTAGTCTGACTAATACACAGTGAGAAGGAGAGAATATGACAGCAATGTGTTGGGGGAATAGGGCTTAGAACTCCTGACCTTCACCCACATCTAAGGGTAGCCCTGTATTTAGTAAGTACAAGCAAGGAATTCTCCTTTCCCCAAGAGGCCTATGCAGAGGCCTATGCCTGTCCACCCACCCACCCCCGCCCTCACCCCCAGGTTTATGCCAAAGAGCTGCTTCTGATTAGAGCAGGACTGGAGGTATTATGACCTGCTGCTGAATAGAGGGACAAAATCTAAATCTAGCTTCTAAATCTCTATGGAACTTGGGGAAGGAACCCCCAGAAAGAACCAGCGAGGCCTCCCTACGTCCTCACTGCTCAACTTAGAGTGATGAGGATGAGGAGGGAACCCCAATCTAGATCCCTCTAGAGACCTGCCAAAATTCCCAATCTGGAAGCTTGTTGCCAGGGGAACCAGGGAGGCGGGCAGCAAACGCTATTTTGAGAGCAGGTGGAAAGCGGAGGTTCCATCCAGAGACTCTGGGTGCTGGGGGTAGGAGAAGGGAGCTCCAGGGGGGTAGGTGCAGCCCCAGCCCCCACTTCTGTCTGCCCCCTGCCCCACCCTGCTCGCCTTGTATTTGTGGAAGTAAGCATGGTGCTGGGTATTGTCTGAAGGAGTTAGCAGAGTTTCCGGTGTTGTTGGATGGGGGAAGGGAAGCTGGAGAGGGCTAAGGGCTGAGGGCATGTTGGGGAAAGGGACAGCCAGCAGTCCCAGTGCCTAGGCTTGGTTGCTCCTCCTTCCCTCTTCTCTTCTCTCCTACCCCATGGCAAGGTGGGGTGGGGGATGAGGGAGAAGCAGATGGAGTGTGGGAGCTGTGGGTTTGCCTTACTTCGGGAACAGGACTCCCTGGGCCCGGAAGGGAGACTGGAGTCCTAGCAAGCAGAGCTGGGCAGTGCAGAAGGCGGGTGGGCGTGGTGGGCAGGGGCAGAGCATGACCTGTCCATGCTCTACCGCTGGATCCATCAGCCTTTAAACTGCATAGGCCTAGTCGGAGTTCACAGGCATACATGTGGGTCAACGGGAGGAGCAGAGCTTTTGGATTCAGACACTCCAGCTCTATCACTAGCTGTATGACCTCTGGCAGATGGCTGAATCTCTCCAGGAGACAGGTTCCTCATCTGTAAAATGAGGATCATTGGATCTACCTCAAAGAGTTGTTAGGATCAAGTAAATGTGGAACATTTACTGATTGCCCAGGGGTTGTTCATTTTCCCCTCTCGGCCCCTAGCCCCCATCCCAGCTGCTCCTGTGCCATCTTCTGTTCTGTGGGCGTCCTCTCTGCCATCTGTCATTCTCAACCACCTTTGTGCTTCTTGAGCTCATTTCTGGCAGCCAGTAACCCCTTCTTCCCTCTAGTCCCTCTCGCAGGTCATCTCTGAGTCGGGATTGCTTACCCCTCCTGGTGGCTTAATCGTGGTCCACACCTCTACCCTCTCTCTCCATTTCCTGCTTGCAGGAAGAGGGCGGCGGGAGGAGAGGGGCTGGGGTGCGGTGATGGCCGAGGACTCTGGGAAGGGGGAGAGTCTCTGAGACCATTTGGCCAGGGGGAGATGGGTGTCTGCATGTGGGTGTGTCCCCTCCTGTACCACCCGGCCCTCCCTTCACCCTCTCTACCCCACCCTCCCAGCCTGCAATGTGACTATCCACAACCGCTGTAAAGACACCCTCGCCAACTGTACCAAGGTCAAGCAGAAGGTGAGATGGCAGGGAGGGCAGAGGGCTGGGGGAGAGGGTAGTGAGTGTGCGGTACCCTCATGCCTTTACCATTCATTCCTTACCCTGTGTTCTCAACCCCTCTCCTCATGGGGGGGGCAGCCCAGACCCTCCACCCTAGGCCTCAGGCCCCATCAGAGGGGGGCCAGCCTCTTGCTGTAGACACATCCCCTCAGCACAGGGTCGGCCACCCTGATGCCCATAGCCATCATGCCAGCTTTCTCCCGAGGTCGAGCCAGCCACCCAGCTCCTGCCCCATGCCCGTGGGGGTGACCCTCGGATGACAGCTGTTCTTGGTGTCTTTCTCTCTCTTGCTCTCTGTCTCACAGCAACAGAAAGCTGCCCTGCTGAAGAACAACACTGCCTTGCAGTCTGTTTCACTTCGCAGTAAGAGTGAGTAGTGAGGGTGCAGGAGCCCCCATAGGACCCTGGACCCTAGACCTCTCAGCCCATGGGCTCTGCTGCCCCCATGAGGTCATTTCTTGGCACAGCGCCTTCCTCCTTTCTATTGGAAGCTAATGGTGGGACCATAAGACAGGTTCAGACTCTTGAGCTTTGGGGCAAGACAGGAGAAGTCAAATGGGGATGAAAGCTTGGGATGGCTGGTCATCTGAGCCTGGTCACATCCTGTATTATTCAGTTATTTACACTGCATTTGGGAATGTTGGCGGCAGCTGTCAAGGGCCAATTCAGACAGCTTTGGTGTAAAGAAGGAGCATGGTGCTTAGTCAGGAAGACCAGAGTCTGAGTCTCTGCTCAGCCACCAGCTGAGTCACTCCAGACAAGTCTCTTAACTGTTCTGAGCTGCAGTTTGCTCATAGGCTTTTTGTGGGGAGGAGATAAGACAAGAAAAGCTCTTTGTAAATATGAAAAGTGTTGCACAAATGGATGGGTATCATTACTGTTACCATCTTTCTTTGACCAGGCCTGGGCTAAAGGTGGGGTGGGAGGGGAGGCCTCAATTTTAGTCGAGAAGCCTGGGAGGCCTGAATCCCAGGAAGGCACCAGGTTTGACACTTGCCTACTCGGTATCCCCCTGACAGCCACCACCCGGGAGCGGCCTAGCTCTGCCATCTACCCCTCCGACAGCTTCCGGCAGTCTCTGCTTGGCTCCCGCCGCGGCCGCTCCTCCTTGTCTTTAGCCAAGAGTGTTTCTACCACCAACATTGCTGGGTGAGCCTCTGCTTGGGGAAGGGAGAGCCAGGCAGGCAGAGTGTGGCAGTGGAGACGGGGGGCTGAGAGGTCCTTCCCATCCCTGAGCTCAGAATGGTAGACAGACAGGTAAGGAGAACTTGGGGGGATGGCCTCTGGGATCCTGGCCTTGGTTCCCCACCTGGGAAGGGACCTCTTGCCCAAGTGGAGGTGATGCAGCCAGCCTCCCCTTCCCTCAGACACTTCAATGATGAGTCTCCACTGGGGCTGCGCCGGATCCTCTCCCAGTCCACAGACTCCCTCAACATGCGGAACCGGACCCTGTCAGTGGAGTCCCTCATCGATGAAGGTGACTATGCCTGGGCCCCAGGCGAGACCTTGGATGACCTGGGGTGAGGGGCAGGTTTGGGCAGGCCTGGGAAAGGCAGGGTGGGAAGGGATCTAGAGAAGGGCCCAGGACCAAGAGAAGAGAACTGGGGTCTGAGTTGTTTCCCGCACTCATGTCCAGGTGCAGAGGTGATCTACAATGAGCTGATGAGTGACTTTGAGATGGATGAGAAGGACTTTGCAGCTGATTCCTGGAGCCTTGCTGTGGATAGCAGCTTCTTGCAGCAGCATAAAAGGAGGTGATGAAGCAGCAGGATGTCATCTACGGTGAGCCAAGAACCACCCCTAGACTTCCCTTCCGTCAGCAGTCCTGTTTCTCTGTGCCCTTCCTCTGCCAACCCCCACCTCTCAAGACCCTTCCCTCTCATCCCGTTGGCCTTCGAGAGCCTGCCTGGCATCCCACAAGTTGCCACTAGGCCCCCACCATTTGGGGCTGTTGGTCTCCAAGGCCCTATCTTTATCCCTTCCTTCCGGTCAGTTCTTAGGCTTTCCTCTCTGCCTGTTCCATGGGGACTGTGGGAGACCTAGACATGTAGGGGACAAATGGTTCTTGCCCTAAAACGGCTCACAGCTTGAGATGGCAAGGTATCAAGATAAAAAAAAGATTAGAAAATCATCTAAGATCAGAATAATGCAGAATGTTAACCTTGAAGGGATCTTAAAAACCTACAGTGAGCCCTGAGGTCCCCAGGCTAGGCTCCACCAATTGTGTCCGAGCCAGAGTAGAGGCCAGATATCCCACTGTCCCTGCAGAGCTAATCCAGACAGAGCTGCACCATGTGCGGACGCTGAAGATCATGACCCGCCTCTTCCGCACGGGGATGCTGGAAGAGCTGCAGCTGGAGCCAGGGGTGGTCCAGGGCCTGTTCCCCTGCGTGGATGAGCTCACTGACATCCACACACGCTTCCTCAGCCAGCTGTTAGAACGCCGGCGCCAGGCCCTGTGTCCCGGCAGCCCCCGGAACTTTGTCATCCATCGCTTGGGTGACCTGCTCATCAGCCAGGTGAGAAAAGGCAGGACCGAGAGCAACATTCACGGAAGGAGGTGTGACTAGAGTGGGCATTTCTTGTCTCCAGACTCTAGGGGCAGGGGGCAGGGAGAGCGGGAGAGGCAGGAAGCCAGCCTGTTTGGTGGGAGGCCAGAGGGTATTGGGGATAAGGTGTGGCTTTGGGGGAAATGCTGACCCAGCCTTGCTCCCCCGACTTCTAGTTCTCAGGTCCCAGCGCAGAGCAGATGCGTAAGACCTACTCAGAGTTCTGTAGTCGCCACACCAAGGCCTTAAAGCTCTATAAGGAGCTGTACGCCCGAGACAAACGCTTCCAGCAGTTCATCCGGGTAAGCAGACCTCTCCAGGACCCAGCCTCAGAACCTCCCTGGTGCCCTAACCCAGCCTCCCCCATTCGTGGGGGAGCATTGTATGCTACACCCACACGAAGGGCAGGTGCTTGCCAGCCCTTGTGTGGACCCACCTGCTTGTGGATCCCGTCAACAACCCCTCATAGCAGTAGAGCAAGTGCTTTCCCTGCTTTGGTCCTCAGAGTAACCCTGTGGCCTCATCCCCACTTCCCAGACTCAGTCACTATACTGGCGTGAGGTAAACAGCCAGGTTAGGGCCAGCACCAGGGCTTAGGCTCCAAGTCCAGCATTCTTTCTGTTGCCCTCCCCTCGGGCCCCACTCTGGCCCTGAGCCCCACCTGTGCCCTTGCAGAAAGTGACCCGCTCAGCTGTGCTGAAGCGGCATGGGGTACAGGAGTGCATCCTGCTGGTGACTCAGCGCATCACCAAGTACCCGGTGCTCATCAACCGGATCCTGCAGCATTCCCATGGTGAGAGGAGGGACCAGGGAGGAGGGAGGGTGGGAGAGGGCTATCTGTGGTGAGAAATAAGCAAGGGGAGGGATAGGGTCAGGTATGGAACCCTGGGCAGCCTCTGAAGGTGGAAATCAAGAGCAGTGGGAATTGGATCTGGCGTGAAGCTGGCTGAGCCATCCCTCCCTCACACCGACCCCTGGCGCCAGGGATTGAGGAGGAACGCCAGGACCTGACGGTGGCACTGGGGCTGGTGAAGGAGTTGCTGTCCAACGTGGATCAGGATGTGCATGAGCTGGAGAAAGGGGCCCGCCTGCAGGAGATCTACAACCGCATGGACCCTCGGGCCCAGACCCCGGTGCCTGGCAAGGGTCCCTTTGGCCGAGAGGAGCTTCTGCGGCGCAAGCTCATCCACGATGGGTGCCTGCTCTGGAAGACAGCAACTGGGCGCTTCAAAGGTCAGTGGTCAGCTTGGCAGGCCAGGCAAGGGTCCGAGGTCAGATATGGAGAGGGAGAAGCATCCGACTCTTAGGACCTCCCTTTATGCAGCCGTATACCCAGGGTGAGACCCAGTGCAGGGAAAATATGTGGTCTCTGTTGCAACAGAAGTCTGAATTCTGGATTTAATTTTCATGGGCTGTACAAGGACTTCCTTTTCAGTATTTATTCATTTCTTTGGTCCTTGCGTGCCCGGAAAGCTCCTAGTTTTGATGAGGAAGACAGAAATTCCAGAATCCAAGGACAAGATCAGAGTAGTTGGTTCTACCAGCTTGAATCCCAGCCACCAGGGCTGGGGAATGGGCAGGAGCTTTGGGAACACAGCTGGGGAAGGCCCATGGGAGGGGCGGAGCCGGGGAAGGGGGCCGGGTGGAGAAAAGAGAGCAGAGGGGGCCTGTTGTGGGTGGGGCACAGTTTCCCAGACTGCACTGGCCAAGTCTTTCCTACCTCAGTCAAGGCAAGAGAGTTGTGGGCCTCAACTTTGGGGATGAGGAATGAGGGACAGAAGTAAACTGTGTGACCTGAGGCCAGAGCCTGCCTGCATCTCTGTCCTGTGTCATGAAATCCCCACTCCATGGGCTTGAGTATTGCAGGCCTCACCAGCCATTTTCCTTCATCCCTTTCTCTCCTTCCCATCCCTCCCACGCAGCAGCTAAGAATATAAACCATGGGGGGGTTAAAAATAGCAAGGCTGGAGAGCTTTATTTCTGAAGCATTTAGAGAAAGCCCTCCCCTTCTGGGTGCCCACAAGTTAGTAAGTTCTTCAAGGGCAGAGGGTGAGTGTGTGTTCTCCTGACTATGACATCCGACTTCCATGGGCTTGACCTTTGTTTCCCCCTCATTCTTAAAGTGCGGGAACCTCATAAGGTCTGAGAGCCTGGAAGGTCAGGCAGAGAAGGAAAATGAAAGCAGGGGCCACTGGGGCTGAAGGAGATTGGGACTGTTCAGCGGTGGCAGAGATGGTTAAGGAACCCTGTTCCCTTCCTGACAGAGCACAACATGAGAAGTGGAATATGCTGGCACTTAGGCCAAATATCTAAAAAGGTCTTATGTTAGTTCATTGTTTGACATAGAACTGAAAGGCTAAAAAAGGGTAGACCCTCCTGCTCTGGGAATCCTTTTACTCTCACAAAAATTCTGGACCTTTTTCACACAGAAAAATGCACGTGTGTTATGTCAACATGTAAAATGCTTATGCAACCTCAGAGGGTTTGCAGAGTCCCTGAAGCCCAACCATGGACATCCTAGGGGTCTGTAGACCCCAGGTTAAGAAACCTGCATCAGTTGGATAAAGAGGATTTTTTTCAAAGGCATTGGGTGACTGCTTATGGGCGCTTCTAGCCCAAGAAGCTATAGTACCTAATAGCATATGCATTCTTCCCACCCCATTTCTGAGCTATAACAATCAGGGAGGTGGGAGGTCTGTAAAGGTGGAGGAAGCAACCAGAGGGAGAGAGGCCAGGAGGAGGGAAATCAGTAGCTGTAACCTGATGGGTAGTCCTGGTCCTTGAGAAAGAGGAAACAGCTGCTCAGACTCTCTAATGCTGACTGTTCTCCTGCCTTTATCCTCCTGCCAGATGTGCTGATGCTGCTGATGACAGATGTGCTGGTGTTTCTCCAGGAGAAGGACCAGAAGTACATCTTTCCTGCCCTGGTGAGACCTTCCTCCTCCTCCTTTCTCAGCACAGACAAGTGTTTCAGGCCCTTCTTGCTTTCCTACCCCAGCCTGAAAGAACTTTGGAATCCTCCAGAGTGAAGCAGCTGTTATTGTAACTATTACTATAAAGGAGGAGAAATAAGAATAGCTAACCGGTATTGTTACTGTGTGCAGGCACTTTACAGCTGTGAGGAAGGCCCATTATTATTTTCTTTTTGTGGACGAGGAAAGTAAAGCACAAAGTAAATTAAATTGTCAAGGGTCACAAGTGTTTATAAGTCCTCTCTGGGTGGCACCAGAGCCTGGGCTCTTAACTTGTATTCTAGGCTGACTCTTCAACCCTTGGATATTCTAGAAGGACTGGAGACTCAAATATCCAGGGGTCAGGATTCCCAGACTTAATCTTTCCATTCCCCTGACTGGCAGGACAAGCCCTCGTTGGTATCACTGCAGAATCTAATCGTGCGGGACATTGCCAACCAGGAGAAAGGGATGTTTCTGATCAGCGCGGCACCCCCTGAGATGTATGAAGTCCACACGGCATCCCGGGATGACCGGAGCACCTGGATCCGCGTCATTCAGCAGAGCGTGCGCGTGTGAGTGTGTGTGTGGCCTCAGGGTACCTGCAGCTTTGGGCTCTGGGCCACAGCACTCCCTGGGGACAGAACCCAGAGGTAGAGGCAGAGGCCAGTGGGGAGAGAAGATGGCTGGAGGCAGGAAAGGTCATCTGTGTTCTCCTGTAAGGTCACATTTTATACAGTGATAACCCCAACCACATTCCAAATGCATCATGAGCTAACAAGCCGAAGGAATACTTTGAGCTGTCATTTGGTGGCTTACCTGCCAGCCAGCAGCACAATTTCAGCTGCATTAACATCTTAGTCTGTAGGCAGTCGGCCATTATTTGGATAGTATTGTATTTTACCTTTATTTTCTAAAAATAAATGAAAAAGGGGATAATGAAAGCATTGATACTGGTGATAAGAGGAGCAAGATTCAAACTCCATACAAGAGGCAAGAAGGAAATCATTTCGTGTGCTGAAGTGGCAAATATTTGGCTTCTGCTGGCCACACGTTAGATTTAAAGCACTCAACTGTGTGTCTGTTGTGATGAAAAAAAGTAAAGTGGATGTAAAATGTTGAAAATGTTTTCTCAAAGATTATGCCCCAAAAATAAACTCAATTAGGATTTTTTTTAATGAGTTTTAAAAAAATTTTTTGGGGAGGGCAGGTCATTATGTTCGTTCGTTTGTTTGTTTGTTTATAATAGCAGTACTGGGGATTGAACCCAGGACTTCTTGAATGCTAAGCATGTGCTCCACCACTGAGCTATATCCCTCCTCAACTCAATTAGGATGTTTATAATACTTTTTTTTTTTTTAGCTTTCAGGTAATGGATTCTTCTCCACTTTATAATATATAAACTTTTAAAAAATTCTACAATTTAGACTTTTGAACAAATTTTTCAGAAATGCATGCAAAAATATGAAATAACCTATTCTAGGAAAACAAGGCAAAATACCTTTCTCATTGACCTTAGATCCATAGTGGCTTCTTAATTAATGATATTAATATTTGTAGTTGTGAAAATTATAATTATTATTATCTATTGTAATTGATCTGTTGAGCTTCTTCCATGTTCAAAGCACTGGTACATTATGTCATTTAATCCTAACAAAAAAACCTATGAGGAAAATATTATCCCCATTTTTCAGATGAGGAAATAGAGAGGTTACCACCTGGTAAATGGTGGAGCCAGGATTTGAGCCCAATTTGCTTGTTGCCAAAAACTGTAGTCATCCCCCTGCACTGTGCTGCCTCTCCAGGTGACCTCTGGAGAGGTAAGTACCAGTAAACACAGATGATCAGTGCTAAGAAAAGGAGAGGGTCAGGAATTGATGAAACCAGAGCATGGAGCTGATTTCTTACCAGGGAAGCAGAGAGCACGTTTGGGAAGGAGAGAGGGCTGATTCCTGGTCTGTAAGCTACCTCCTTCCCTCTAATCCCACCCTACCTGTTATCCCTCCAGATGCCCATCCAGGGAGGACTTCCCCCTGATTGAGACAGAGAATGAGGCTTACCTGCGACGTATGAAGAGTAAGTCCACTCACAGAGCCGGTTTAAATAATTTATGATACATCTGCCCAGTGGAATACTATGAAACTGTTGTAAAAAGTGAGATGGTTTTATGAGGACTGATGTAGGTCCACGACCAAAATTTATTGTTAAGTGAAAAGAGCAAGGTTTAAAACACTGTAAAGTGTATGCTACCATTGGTGTGAAAGTAATGGGGCAATTACTGTCGCTGTCTCTGGGAAGGGGAACTGGGAATAACAGGGTTAAGACAGTAACTTACTTTTTTACTACAGGGCTTTATATTGGTTAGGGTATGATTTAACTACTCTACGAAAAGATCAACAGAAGTCAGTTGGTTACACGAAGTAGACTATTTCTCTCCACGTAACAGTCCAGAAGTAGGAAGTACAAGGTGGTAGTGCAGCTCTGCCATCTTCAACATGAAGATTCCCCATCTCTATGCCCTGTATCTATCGCCATGTCCTCATTACTGCCTCAGCTCCTGCTGTCACATCTGCATCCCAGCTAGCAAGGGAGTGGTAAAGAACAAGGAGAATTTATACCCATCTCTTTTAAGGGCAGATCTGGAAGACACTCACATCCATTGGCCAGAATTCAGTCATGTGGCAATATCTAGCTGCAAGCCAGTCTGGGAAACATAGTCTAACCGGGCAGCCATGTGAAACTTGCATGCATTCCTAGTTAAAGGAAGATGGGGAGAATGAAAACTGGTGGACAGCCTGCAGTCCCTGCCACAAATTGTTTTACTTTTGTTTTTAAAACAAAACTGCATGTATTACTACCCCACCTCCCAAAACTTTTCTTTTCTTTTTCATAAATGCCAAAAAACCAAAATTAAGTCTTGCCACTCTACCCAGCCCTGGCTCCTAACCCCTGGGGCTGCCCCTCCACTACAGGTGCTCACCTGTTTCTCATCCACAGTGGAGCTGCAGCAGAAAGACCGGGCATTGGTGGAGCTGCTGCAGGAGAAGGTTGGGCTGTTTGCCGAGATGACCCATTTCCAAGTGGAAGAGGATTGCGGCAGTGGGATGCCCCTGCCCACCCTGCCCAGGGGCCTTTTCCGCTCTGAGTCCCTCGAGTCCCCTCGTGGCGAGCGGCTGCTACAGGATGCCATCCGTGAGGGTGAGGGAGCTTCTAGGGAAGAGCCCAGGCTCATCCACTCACTGTTACAGAATATGGACATATGGCTAGACGTGGATGCACACAGACAAGGGGGATGTCAGCCCCACAGTCCATAACTCCCTTGAGTACATGTTCTGTGCCAGGTGCTGGGAATGGCAGGGGAAGAGGCATGGTCCTTGCTACTGATAGACACCTCTCATCCTGCACATCCTTGTGCTGCCCCTCGGACACCTTTAATGACCTTTGCCTTGTATGTGGTGGTGGCAGTGAGACAGCACTGCGTGTGTAGGGGGCATCCCCCTAGATGAATAGCATTCCCTCCCAGTCCCCGCAGGGTCCTCCGTTGCTCCTGTCCTCACCTCTTCCTCTCTCCCCTCAGTGGAGGGCCTGAAAGACCTACTGGTGGGGCCTGGAGCAGAGCTGCTCTTGACACCCCGGGAGCCAGCCCTGCCCGTGGAACTAGACAGCGGTGGTAACACGAGTCCTGGGGTCACTGCCAGTGAGTACCAGGGCAGGGGACCAAGGTAGTGGGTGGGAGGGGTTAAACAGAATGGGGTGAGACCAGGGGCCAAGTGGTGTCGGATCGCTGAGGAAGTGAGTGAGCTAAGCCTGTCCTTTCCTCCCCCTTAACAGATGGTGAGGCTAGAACCTTCAATGGCTCAATTGAGCTCTGCAGAGCCGACTCGGACTCCAGCCAGAAGGTGGGTTTTTAGGAGGTGTCACGGCTTGGCTCAGGGGTGGGAAAGGGATGGCTGGCCTGTAGATCTTTGACGCAGAGCTGTCAGGGACAGGCACCAGGGACTTGTGTGTCTGCTGATTCCCTATGCTTGCCTGTTTCTGCAGGATCGAAATGGAAATCAGCTGAGATCTCCCCAGGAGGTGAGATGGGAACTTGATGGTGTAGGAGACTGAAGGGGGGATTCCCACCTGAGAACTGAGAGCCCAGTTTGGAGTGGTGTAGGGGATTCTACACCTCAAAGTACCTGCATCTTATTGTCCCCACACCCACACTTATTCAACTTCTGGACAGTTCTCCCATTCTGAAGCTTGGACTCTGTTCCCACCCTCTCTGTCCTCAGGAAGCGTTGCAGCGACTGGTCAATCTCTACGGACTTCTACATGGCCTACAGGTCAGTGGGGCAAGAGCTAGAATGGGGTAGTGGGGGAGCCGGACCAGAGCTGCTTATTTAGGTGGAGCAGAACATCCCAACAGGCCTTTTGAAGCCTTCCTCCAATTTGAGCTCTCCAGGATCATGACCTGGGCCCTGGGGAGTGAGGATGAGGGGTAGAAGAAACATGGGGTTCAGATACACCCATCTGTCTGACTCCATTCCAGGCGGCTGTGGCCCAGCAGGACACTTTGATGGAAGCCCGGTTCCCGGAGGGCCCTGAGCGGCGGGAGAAGCTGACCCGAGCCAACTCCCGGGATGGGGAGGTTGGCAGAGCCGGAGCTGTGACTCCTGAAAAGCAAGCTACAGAACTGGCGTTGCTGCAGCGGCAACATGCGCTGTTGCAGGAGGAGCTGCGGCGCTGCCGGCGGCTTGGCGAAGAGCGGGCAACTGAGGCCGGCAGCCTGGAAGCCCGGCTCCGGGAGAGCGAGCAGGCCCGAGCTCTGCTGGAGCGGGAGGCTGAAGAGGCTCGCAGGCAGCTGGCCGCCTTGGGCCACACAGAACCACTCCCGGCTGAGGCACCCTGGGCCCGCAGGCCTCTAGATCCTCGACGTCGCAGCCTCCCTGCAGGCGATGCCCTGTACTTGAGTTTCACGCCCCCACAGGTAAGGAAGCTTGGCATAGTGAACTGACCTGGGGCGGACATAGTGTCCATGACAGAACCTGCAAGGAGTTGTAGATTTGAACCCAAATGAAATCAGGAATCAGACTTGAAGGATATTGGAATAGATTGATCAGAGGGCTGAAAAATTGAGATGGGTGCAGAAAGAGGGCAGTCAGAGGTAGATGTACTGAGAGGACGGAGTATTCCCACCGCTTATTCCCTGGCCACCTGCTTTTCCTGCCTGCTGTCCATAGCCCAGCCGAGGCCACGACCGCCTGGATTTGCCTGTGACTATTCGCTCCATCCATCGACCCTTTGAGGATCGAGACAGGCAGGAGCTGGGAAGTCCAGAGGAGCGGCTGCAAGATAGCAGTGACCCCGACACCGGCAGTGAGGAGGAAGGTAGCAGCCGTCTATCTCCGCCCCATAGTCCGCGAGGTGAGACCCTGGTGGAGATGTGGAAAAGTGGGGTGCAACCTGGGTACAGACCCTTGGGCTTTGGTTTCCAAATAGAGCCTGCATTGTAGAGCACAGGAACATGTAGGATGGCCCCTAACTAACCACCCAGGTGTACAGTAACTTTTGTCGTCTGGTAAATGGGTGATGGAACTCTAAGAAGCAAAGAATGTAGGGGCCTTTCTTCCAATCAATGTCTGTGACTTCCAACCTTTTCAAGTAGAAACAGATTTTTAAACAAAAAAATTTCAAAGAACTCCAAGTTCTTATAGTTGATTTGGGAGATACAAAATAACCAAAAGCTAGTGACTTTATATATATATAAGTATATTTTAATATTCTGAATTTTATTGATCATATTGTGTCTCCACATGCTTAACAAAGTATACAAAGTACCTAGGTGTGGATACATTACTTTGTTGATGGAAGTTTTCCCCTCCCCCAGGGATTGCACACCTCTACTGTCCCTCACAGCTCCGAGCTCCCCAGCCCATAGTCGGGGAGGCAGCAGTGTAGGGGTCCAGTTTCTCACAGGAGCCTCTGCTCACTCACTGACTTTGCCCTGTCCTCCTTCAGACTTCACCAGAATGCAGGACATCCCGGAAGAGACTGAGAGCCGCGACGGGGAGCCTGTAGCTCCAGAGAGCTAAGGGGGCCCCTCCCCCCTACCCTGTGTCCCCTTGAAGAACATTGCTGAGGGAGGCAAACCTTGGGGACTCCAATCTGCCAGTGACAAGGGAACATTTGAAAGAACTGCTGATTGTTCTTGCCAGCTCTTGGGATCCTTGGATACTGGAGCTTAGGGAGCTGGGGGAATTAGGCCACAGTGCCCCCTGGTGGCATCCAGAAGCTACACCACAGATGCCAATTTTTTCATGCCTTCCTCCCTCTACTTTAGGAAAATTTATTTATTTATTGTTTATTAGTTATGGAGGGAGAGGGGAGATTTAAAGGACCAGGGACATGGGAACCAAGCCATAGGGATCGGGGGCCTTGTCCTTTAACACTACTGGGGTTTATTCAGGCTTAACCATGCAGCTGCTGGGTTCTAGCCCTGACGCCTCTCCCCAGCAACACCTGTCTTTGAGGAGAGGCTGCAGCCATAGGACCCTACTGCCCCTTCAGGAAGGGCTGTGGTCAGGGCCATGTCCCTCTCCCTCTCCCCTCAACCTCTTTCTGCTGTTCTCCCTTCTCTCCATCTTCCATGGAACCCCAGGGAGATAACCTGGCTTCCTAGAGTTGATGGAGTAGAGGTTGAGGTGGCCATAATGGTTTGTTGGGGGTTGAGGGGGAAAAACTCACAGGGACCAGAATGTTTTTTTGCTGTTGTTTTCTTTTTTGTACCAAAGCCAACTGCACGTGTTTTATATTTTTAAGAGAAGATTGTGGCAATTAGAAATCGCAGCCTTCTATCTCTACATCTCTGAAGAACTCGAGGGATGGGGGAAACAATGACTTCTCCCCTCACCTATAGTGATAGGGGACCTATTCTGACCTCTTCCCCAGCCATTTGGAAAAAAAGTTCTAGGGTGAGTTGGGAAATCTCTACGAACCCTGACCTCATCCCCCACCCCAGCAACTATGACCTGAAACCTCAGCATAAATTTTGGGGATTTTTTCAATGGCCCCCCTAGTCCCCACTAGCCCCAGCCAGTTTTTGCCAATTTGATTGTTTAAAAAAAAAAAAAGATAAAGCAGGGAAAATTAAAGACCTGGAACCCCAGGAAGTGCTGTTTGTTAATGTCTGCCAGTTCTGAGGGTGCTGGTGAAGGGGAGAGCCAGGCAGTGACCCTCCGAAAGGAACTTCTTCCTCTCCCAGGAAGGGTGACTGCCTCCTTGCAGATGGGGCACTAACAGAAGAAACTGCTGCCAACCTTTTTGTTGTTGTCATCTTTTGACATTCACAAATACAAGGATAAAAATGAAGGGGCACTTAGGTTCAGTGGCTGTTAGGGGTTCCGGTATTAAAGACCTTATTTTCATCTCATTTGCATGCTATGCTCAGAAATTGCATCAGTCTCTTGCCCTCTTCCCTCACTTTCAGCACAGATCCTGTTAGCCTCTCCCTAGGGTCATTCATTTTCAGATTCAGCCCTCACTCTGCCCTTGTTCCTCACAGTGTCAGAGCCCTGGGGTAACTTCTTTAAGACAGTTCCCCTCATAGGAGCTGCTCATTTGCTCTTTGCCATTTTGAGACGCAGTGAGAGATTAGGTAGGTTTCAGTTCTAGTTTTCAGTTGATTTTTTGCTTCCTGTTTCCGGTTAATACCCTACTCTGGGGCTGTGGCAGGTGTGGGGGTGAGAGAGTCTAGAGTCTATAAATGCCTGCATATGTGCATATGTCTCCATTGGAACCTATGGGGTAAGATAAGAAGAATGAGACTCAAGACCTCAGCTAGAAAGAGGAATTGAGATCACATGGGGCGGAGGGCAGGCTTGGGGCAGCAGCCAGCACCCTCCGCTCCTGTAATTCTCATCCACCAGCATCTGGGCTTGACAAGGTGCTTTCTCATCCCTTGCAGAATCTGTGAGGTAAGAATTCTCATTTTATAGACAGGGAAGCCTGCATACAGAGGGTTGCCAGGCCAGAGAGGTGAGCCAGGAAAGGGCCAGCCCTCCTAGCTGCAGTCCTCCACTTCCTTTTCTTGGCTACTCTGCTGAAAAACACCAGAGCTCCGGGTTTGTAACACATCGACACGTGGCTCAGCTGCTGCCTGCCGTGTCAGCTGGAAGCAGCTGGGACCCAAAGCTGTAAAGGCAGTGCTGGGGTGGGGGTGGGGGTTAGCATCCAGAGACCACCAAGAAAGAGAATGCAGGCTACTCAGCATCCTCCCAGATCCAGTGAAGGATCCCGGTCATGAGGAAAACAGAAACCTGGACACGCAGAGCCCAGAGTGTAGCTGTGGAGAAGCCCACAGCTCATGGAGAGCTGCGCTGTCCCTGCTGCTGCAAAACCCCTTCCTCATTCTTGGCCCTGAAACATGTCACACATTTCTCTGACGTGGCAGTTGCTAAGAGATAGTCCCTGTCAAACATCTTTCACCATTCTGTTCGTCATCCCCTCCCTACTCCTGTTTTCGGAAACTCAGTCTCACCCTCTGTCCCTCCTGTCGGCAGTTTCAAAGCTGTCTGGCTTGCACTCCTGGGAGCCAGGGCCCAGCTTCTTGCCACAGCAGTGCCTCCTTTCCATTTGAGAGGAGCAGGCTTGGAGCCTGAAGCCTGCCCAGCCCCAGCTGTCCTCCATTGCTGCTCCCTCTCCTAACTCTCCCATCCCCACGGGTGGGTCTGCATGTGTTCGTTCACCTCTGACTTAGACCTTTTTAAACTTTGTCAATATTTACCTCTGGGTCCCATAAAGCCCATAAAGCAGCAATGTCCCCAGAGGAGCCAATATCCGGAGCCCAGCAGGGCCATCAGAGGAGCTGCAGGGGATGGGAAGAGGGGCACTTGGGTCAGGGAGGATTTTCCATCCTTAATTGGCTGGGAACAGACCTGGAGTTTTGGAACCAGTTTAAACATTATCAAAGAGAGGAAATGAAACATCAAGAGGCTAATTAAATCTCTTTAACATTGCTTAATATGTTGTGAATTAGGTGGCTCTTTAGGATGGAGCTGGTGCAGGGTATGCCCCGTCCAGCGGGGGCCACACACACTCAGGAGGCACTGGGCGCAGCTGTTGCTCTGGGATCTTGACTGACTAGAGTCAGAGTTACAAAATACGCCAGAGCTTGTGGGCCTGGGAGGCCATGGAGGTGGGAGCTCCACCCCACTTTCCCTCTGTCACCTCCCTCCTTTCCAGGGGCTGCCCCCCCCAAAAGTCCCTTCTGATGGCTATCATTGCTGGGTATCTATGGATGCAGAAACCCAAGGGGAACCCTCTGCCCTGGAGTAAACCCCTTCGAGAGGGGCTGGAGGGGCCAACCCCTCACCCAGTTCTCTATTTTAAGCTTTCATTTCTCTCCAGAGCACGTAAACATTCCAGACAAGACCTTTATGACTCCCTGTCCCCATCTCCCAGCTGCCCCCTTATTTCCTCCTTTTTCCTCTGTCTCTATTTACATGAGGTGTAAGAATAATAGCTAAAGCTCTATTTCATGCACTGTTACATCCTCAACAGCCCACTTTACAGTTGCGGAAACAGAAACAAAGAAGCAAAGTAACTTACTGAGGTCCCTCAGCTGGTGAGTGTCAGCGCTAAGGATGTGAATCCAGGTTTCTGGCACCTGAGTTGATGCTCTGAGCTAAACATTTGGGGAAGGAGAAAGACTAGCATCATTTGCTGTGGTTTCCACTCCTCCGGCCCTGCCTTCAATCTCTTCTCCGAACCCCTTTGTGCATCTCTCACCTCCCTATGCCCCACCCACCTCCTTGGCTTGTCCAAGTCCAAGATAACTTCACTTCTCCCTCCAAATCCTGATTTAAGGAGAGACCTACAGGCAATCCTAGCCAGCAGCAAGAGTTTGCACTCTGGGCTTGGCTGGAGCCAGGGATCCTGCAAGACCCCACATGTGGCATCTCCCTGCAGGGCAACTACAGCTTTTGCAGCTGAGGCATCTGCAGGCCCCAAGTTTCTGTGAGCACTGCTGAAATGGTAAGAAGGCAGAGGTGCCAGGGGAAGAGGGCATAATTGGCCCTAGCACCAGAGAAGGACAAGGGCACACCTTGGTTGAGGGGAGGATGGAAGGGTAGAGAGGATAGGGAGATAGGCGTTGACCACTACACCATTAGTGTAGAACCCTTAGGGAAAATTTCCTGGGAATCCTCACAGGAGGCAGAGATGAGGCATAGAATCCTTCGGGCCACACTGACCTAGAGGTGGAACTGGGATGAAAGTTCAAGACAATTTGTGGATGATCCAGAGGTTTATTCTCAAATCCTCTTCATTCCCACTTCCACACGGCGACTTGAGCTTTGTCATACCCAGCCTTGACCTGGGCCCTAGCCTCCCCCGTCCCCCACACCCAGAGTTAGAGATCCAAGATCAGACTCTCCCTGAGGGTGTTGCAGCATGGCAGAGAGGCCAGCCTCTCTCTCCCTAGGATGCGTGGATCATGCACCTGGCAGACCCCCAGAAGGAGGAGGGGGGTTTAGCTTGCACCCTTCACCCAGGGGTCCCTTTGTCCAGGTTGGCCAGCATAGTAGAAGGGCCTCTCTCTCGAGGGGTGCTCTCTTCCCACTGCCTGCCCACCTTCTTTAGGGCCAACTGTTCCACCCAGCCCTGGCCCTGGGGCCACAGCCTTGCTCGCAGATCCCTGAAGGTGTCTGCCAGGGCCCGCCGGGGCTCCCGCCTTAGGAGACAGTACAGCACTGGGTTGAGGCAGCTGTTGCTGTGTGCCAGGCAGGTGGTGACAGGGAAGACGTAGGTGTGGATGGTGTAGAAAGTGCTGTCCCAGGGCACTACGTCAAACTTCACCAGGACACCCCAGAGAGTGACCACATGGTTGGGGAACCAGCAGAGGAAGAAGGAGGCCAGAAGGATGCGGACAGAGCGGGCCACGACCCTGCAGTCCTGCCGCCGCCGCCGCCGCTGCCGCAGGAAGGCCAGCAGCAGCAGGTAGCTCGTGGTGATGATGCCCAGCGGCACCAGGAAGGCCAGCACCACCCTCTGCAGCTGGTAGGCACCCAGCCAGTGCCTGCTGGGGAAGCGCAGCAGGCACAGACGCACACCGCACACCTCGCCCTCCGCCCCAAAGACAGCCGTGGGCACCGTCACCAGGGCAGCCGCCACCCACATGGCCAGGGTGGCCACGCGGGCCCAGAAGAGCGAGAGGTGGGTTCCTGGTCCCGCAGCCATAGCCACCAACCAGTATCGGGCAACACTCAGCGCCGTGATGAGGAAGATGCTGGCGTAGATGTTGAGGACAGTGGCTGTCAGGACCATCTTGCAGAGGACACCTCCGAAGGGCCAATGGAAGTCCAGTGCCGACTCAGCTGCCCAGAAGGGGAGAGTGAGTGCCAGCCCCAGGTCTGCCAGAGCCAGGTTGAAGACAAAAGTGTCAGAAGGTGGGCAAGGGGCTCGCCGAGCACAGTTACCCAGCACCCACAGTACGGCCAAATTTCCCAGCAAGCCGACAGCCCCCACAAGCCCATAGGCCAGGGCAACCACGACCCTCAGGGCTAGGAATCCAACAGGCATCGTAGCATCAGCAGCACTCAGCACATTGCCTCCAGAGGCGTTGACCCAGAAAGCAGGCAGGGGGGCAGAGTTATTGGGAGTGGGCATCGCAGAGTATCAAAGGTCGGTGGTGATGAGCAGAGGGGCCAGCAAGTGCCTGCCAGACTGGTGGGGGCCACCCAAGGCTCAGCAGGACGCTCTAGATCTGAGCATCTGGGGCCTCCGGCTCTCAGGAACCCCAGCCCACGCCCACACCTCAGGGGGCGGGCTGCGGAGGGACAGCCTGCCTCTTCCCTGTCGGTCTTGGTGGGTGGGGCAGGGCAACGGCAGGCCGGAACATGGAGATAAATGCATGTGCGCACATGTGTGCGTGAGCACGTGGGCGTGTATTGTGTTCTATGCAGGTGGGGAGGAGGAATTAATCCCGCTATGGAGGGCAGCCCCAAGCCTCCACCCCATTGGAGAAGACCAGATATACCCCATCTCAGGGAACCCCGTCTGTTCCTAATAGTGTTCTGGGGCCCCCTTCTCTGCAGAAAGTGCTCCCTTAGGGCCTGGGGGAAGAGACCTGGGAGGGGGCATAGAGGCAGGGAACCAGAATGTGTGTCTGCAAGCCAGAAGGAGCAGAGGATCTGGAGTCCCAGATCTGCTACTCACTAGCTGTGTGACTTTGAGTCAATTACTGTACTCCTCTGAGCCTGTTTCCTTGCTTAAATTTTCAGATGAAACTATCTGCTTCACAGGATTGGCATGATGAAATGAGATAACACATGAAAAAGCACTTTGTACACTGTTATTTGCATGAATGAATATGATTTCAAAGGAAAAGTTGGCGGTGTTTGTGGCAGAAGAGAGCAGGGTACTGAGTGGTGCCAAGGAAAACACAGGTTGGAATTCATTGCAGCAGAAAGTGACCTTGAGGCCAAGGACAGGGAGGGAAAGGGGAGAGGAAGTCACAGCTTCCTGTTCCCTCTGCACCGGAATGTCCTTTGAGGACCTGAGCGGACCTGGGGCATGCCCTCCATTCTCTTCCTGCTCCTGAGTATAAAGAAGTCCTGCCAACCTCTGTCACTCCCGCTGCTATGTCACACTTTCCCTGCTCTAGTCAGAGGTCAGCGGTACCCCACTCTCTCTCTCAGTTCCCAAACCCCATTTCAGACATGGATACCGTCACCACACCTCACCCTGTCTCCCTGTGATCTCAGTCCTCAATGGAAGAAATGCCTCATTGGGTCCTCCCTTTTGTGCCCATATCCCTACCCTTTGCAGAATGGGTAGATGACAGAATGAGGCTTTTTCAAGGATTCCAAAATACTCAACACCTTCCTGTCCTCTGCCAGCTATTTAAGGTGTTTAATGTTCAGTTCCCTTGAGTGCTGGGGAAGGTGAGGGGCCCTGCAGGATAATCAACAGTGAGTATGATGAACCTGTAGGAGAGACTCAGAGGTGAAAGAGATCCAGGTGCCAGGATATTTGGGTCTTTAACCATGGGCAGGATGAGTGTGAAGAGGGTGGCAGAGGGGAGTGTCCAGCCCAAGTTCGGGTGAGCCCCATGAGTGAGCCTCCTGGCCTGAGGGACTGCTCCTGTGTGACTTTGTGCCAGCCATTCCATCTCTCAGGGCCGTGTTTACTCTTCCATCCACCCAGCACCACCTCCCCAGTCTGGCAGCGAAGATGTTTTTTAACACATAGGGCTCATTTTCTCTTGGCTTGGAAAACAGAGGCTGGATCAGCACTTCAGAGTTCTGCTATCCATTTGAAATATTTGGTCCTCTGATCATTTCTTTTCTTTCTTTTTTTTAAACTTTTATTCATTTCTAATCTAAATCCTCCTTGATCAGAGACTATCAACACCCCCCTTGTGGTTATATAGAGAGGTGATGCCACCAACTGGCCGAGCTTAAGAATGTCACTTTGGGCCCTTTCATTTTTCTAGTATTCTGTTCATTCCTTGATTCATTCGTTCATTCACTGATCACAGCATTCGCCAAACCTTTACACTGTGCTTGCTACTGAGGAGACAAAAATAAAATATGGTCCCTCTCCTCATTAAATACAATAAACTTTTTGAAATGGGTGGGATCTTTAAGATCATCTAGTTCAATTTCCTGTTTTTATAGGGAATGAAAGTGATCTACCCAAGGTCACCAGAGATGTAGTGCCAGAGTCAGGGTTTGAGATAAAAGTCTCCTATTACTAGAATCTTACTCTTTCATTTAAAAAAAAATGTACTGGGGATTGAACCCAGGACCTCGTGCACGCTAAGCATGTGCTCTACCCTGATCTATAACCCCACCCCTTGGCTCTTTCCACTACATCACAAAACCCTTTGGGCATTTCTTTCCACCTATAGTCTCTTCCCCCATCCCTGAGTGCCAGAATGCCAGTCCCTGCCCTTGGGAAGTGCTTAGGCTACCAAAGGAGACAGCAGCAGGATGTGGACGGAGGGATAGTGACCACTCCACTTGTAGTGGTCTTCACTCAAAACTGCTGGGATGTGAGGAGGAACTGGACTCAACAAAAATGATTTTATCATCCTGAGAGCCATCTATTACCAGCCCCATTTTCTATATCAGTTAGAGTCCAAGGAACTGTAGTGGTAGGTTACAGTGTCTGCCTGACATAAAAAGAACTTCTAATGACCAAGCCTTCCCCTCAGTCACCTGAATGTCCTCCCCTCCCTCAGTCCACAGATCTTTTCAGCCCCACATCCCTGTCCTGCACTCCAAAGCCTAGGCAAAGAGGAGGTGGACTGAGTTATCCCTCCACAAAGCACAAAGAGAACAGGTCTTTGCATTTGTACTTGTGGTGGAAGACACAGGGACTAGTTGCTTGGAGGACTACAAAGGGCAGGAGTAGGAGACCTGTCCCTGATTCAGATCCCTAACCTTTAATCTCACATCGTCCCAATCAGTCATCATTTCCTTCACATGTCTGCCCAGATCTACTGGAGAAAATCTCCAGTCTTGGTAAGGGGCGTGGGCAGCTCCAATGCTGAAGGGCAACTTCTGAATCAATCTCTGTCTCTCTCTCAGCTTCATATATTGGAATAGTGTTATATTTACAGGAAAATTGCAAAGGCAGTGAGAGTGATCCATCTCTTATTTTCCACATCAACTGTCAGAGCATCAAAAATCAAAACCAAAATCTTAGGGATAAATGTGACAAGAGATGTACAATGGTGGTACACTGAAAACTACAAATCACTGCTGAGAGAAACTAAAACAGACCGAAATAAATGGAGAGGTATACTGTGTTCATGTGTTGAAAGACTCAATAATAAGATGTCAGTTCTCCTTATAATGGTTCTGTAGATTCAATGCAATCTTGTCAAAATTCTAGCAGCCTCTTTTTAAAGAGAAATTGACAAGCTGATTCTAAAATTCATATGGAAGTGCAAATAGCCAAATGATTTTGTAAAATAGCCAAAACAATTTAGTAAAAAGATGATAAAGTTGGAGTACTCATATACCCAATTCCAAGACTTACTACAGTACTCAAGACAATGTGATATTAGCAAAGGATACTTATAAATCAGTGGAGTCCTGAAACAGACCCACATGTTTACAGTCAACTGACAAAGGTGCAAAGACAATTCACTGAAGAACACATAGTCTTTTCAACAGTGTTTCTGTAACAACTGAATACCACATGAAAAAAAATACTACATTCCCATTAGAATGTCTAAAATGAATAAAACTGACCATACCAAGTGTTGTGGAAGAAGTGGTGTATCAAAACTTTCATACATTACTGATGGGAATGTAAAATGATATAACCATTTTTTAAAACAATTTGGCTTTCTCTTAAAAAGTTAAAAATATACCTCTTATGTCCTGGTCTTTCTACTCCTAGGCATTTACTCAAGAGAAATGAAAGCATATGTTCAAATAAAGACTTACACAGCAGTGTTCACAGCAGCTTTATTTGAAGTTGCTTAAAATGGGAAACAACTCAAATGAATAACCTTATTATCCACCAAGTTAATAGTAAACAAATTGTGGTATATTAATATAATAGAATGCTACTCAACAATCAAAAGGAATGAATTACTGCTATATACCACAAGCATGGAGGAGAGAGCCTTGTTGGCTGCCCAGTTGTCCCTCCACGTTTGCCTCACTGAAGCATCTGTCCCTCCTCCATCTGTTCAGCATTGCTGGTCCATCTGCAGTGCAGCCAAGTCCAGCCCACTCCAGCCTCCAGTCCTAGCAGCGTGCTCGTCTGAAAGAGGACAGCCTCATTGCTGACCATTTGCTCTGGACCAGGTTCACTCTAGAGTGTCCCACACTGGGCATCCCAGGCTGTGGCCGAGTATCCTCGCCTGTCTGTCTTCTAAGGCCTCTACCTGGAAGCCATATTATACATGAGTAGGTGTCCATTTCAGATGTCAGGTGTTCGTCTTCTTGAGAGAGGAATGGGGCAGATGCCACCCCATGCATGTGGAAGAGCAGAGGCTTTTCCCAGGGCCACTGTTCTAAAACCAAACAGAGTTTAGGTCTTCAGTTGTGGGCACTGCTAGTCAAGTCCTCGGTGGGATACCCTGCTGTTACCTCTGCACTAACATTGGTATCTGACTACAACTTAGTCTCCAACCTGAAGAATGAAGCTTCAGCAGTGCATGAAGATCCTGTTATATGCCCCTCGTTGGCTTGGTATTTCATATCTTCATCCAAAAGGCATTTTCTGGGCATCTGGTAAGTGACAGGCACCTTGCAGCCTTGGAATACACAAAGATGATTAAAACATAGTTCCCGCCCTCAGAGAGCTCACTCTTAATAAAGGTGACAGCAATATAAACTATACCTGTAAATACAGCATGAAAGATGCTGTACTAAAGATCTAATAGAGAATTCAGAGGTACTACAAAGGAGGAAGTGTTTAGGTTTACTTGGAATAGTCACAGAGATGATTTTTGTACTAAGCCTTGAAAAATCAGTAGATGTTTGTCCAGAGAAAGAGCATTTCAGGTGATGGGAACAGTATGATCATAGACAAGGATGTATGCAACTGCATCTGGGGAAATGCAAGTGTTTCATCATGGTTAGCACAATAGTGTGTGTACCAAGGAAAAGACCAGGAAAGCTGGGCAAGGGGAGCAATAATGAGATTCTGGAGGACCTGAGGCCAGACAAAGAAGTTTGGATTTTATCCAGTAGAATGAGAAGCCACTAAAAGCTTTTAATATAAGCAGTGACAGAATCAGATTTATTTTTTAAAAGTATCTATTTGTTGACAATGTGAAAGACTATTCAAGAGAATAGTTGAGGATGGCAGGAGAAGTATCAATTTGGAGGTTTTTGTAAACAGGGGCTGGGATAATTAGGAAGTAGAGGAAGGAAGGAACATGGATTATATTTGGGGCATAGAATCAAGTGACTAGGGATGTAAAGTGATTAAGAAGAGGGAGGAACTAAGAATGACCACCAGTTTATAGACTTGGGGAATTAAGTGCATGGAAGGTACTTGAATGGATGGCTGGATATATGTATAGTGGTATCACATTGGCTTTAGAAAGTACAGGAAGAAAAGCAGGTTGAAAAATTTGTGAACCATTTGGATGTAGTGATCCAAAATTCATGATGTTACCATGGCTACAGAATAATCAAATCAGCCTTTTATTTAAGTTTATGGGAATTTTCCTAATTTCCAGGAAGAAGGATTCCAATTCTTGTCCAAGACCAATCTCTCCATCTGTGTTCTTAAATCCTTCTCTTCCCAGATCCTGCTCCATTGGTCATTCTCTTCCTCTTGGGTTTTCTACAGTTCCTCTTTTATTGCTGAGGTCATTGCCCCTTCTTGTTTGGTGCATGGTCAAAAAAACTGACGTGTGAATCCCAATGACTGTGCATTTCCTAGTGCTCACTGGGGTATTATCAGGCCATCTGCCAACTCTAAGGCAGTGACAGCTTGCAGTTCATATAAAACCCATATGGCTGGACCCACAACCTCAGCCTAACCTCTCTCACTTTAGAGATTTTTTTCTATTAGTAATATAACAAAGTGCTATAGAATGGAGTTTAGACAATCAGACTTGGGTGTACCAATAGAGAAATATTAGTGGGGAAATTCTGAGAGAAATGTGAATTAGTGAATTAAGCATTTAACTTAAGAAACTAGGTAGCTCACAGCAAAAAAAATGTGACAATGAATATATGTATGTTCATGTATAATTGAAAAATTGTGCTCTACACTGGAATTTGACATGACATTGTAAAATGACTGTAACTCAATAAAAAATGTTATTAAAAAAAGAAACTAGGGGAAATTTTTTAAGATAAAGGGGAAGATAACTAATAAAAACAAAACTTTAAATTAATGTGCTATTGATGAATTGATGAACATATTGATGAATAAAACTAAGTCATGGGTTCTTCAAAAAGGTGAACAAATAGAAAAGACACTGGCAAAGTTAAGGAAAATAAAGAGAAAAGAAGAAAGAGAGAAGAGAACAAAATAGCCATACAAATGAGATTGAAAGCATAAGAAACTATTAGTGAAATTTTATGCAAAACATTCTAAATTCTAGGTAAAATGAATTTTTTAGGAAAACTTAAATGACTAAAGTTAGCTCAAAAAAGTAAGAATTCTGAACAGATGAATAATCACACAAGAAATTTAAAAGATTTTCAAATATCTATCACTAAAAAGCTTCCAGATCCAGATGGTTTTATAAGCAAGTTCAGTCCAACCTTCAAAAGAACAAAACAAACAA